ACAAAATTTTTTTTATAGAAATTGTCACTTTTTTATAAAAAGAAATGAGACATGTCACTTTTAAAAGTTAAGTGTCACTTTTTTATTAAAAAATGACATACAATGTCACTTTTATTAAAAATTGATGTCACTAAAAAAAATGATAGAAATCAAGAAAGTAACTAAAAAAAGTGATAAAACACTAAAAAAAAGTGATAAAATTAAAAAAAGTGACGAATTCACAAATTAAAAGAAGTTATACATGTTAAAAAGTGGCGGACAATAAAAAAGTGACACACGTTTAAAAAGTGACAATTCAAAAAAAAGTGACAATCTCAAAAAAGTGATGAAATTTTTTTTAAAAAAAAATGGCGAAACAGCGCTGAAAACCTTAACATATATCATTTAAGCTAATTCAACCACTCTTACACCACCACCGCTCCAATCACCAAGGCTCCAAAACCATTATTGCCTCGTTTCTTCAATACCCAACAAAAACTTGCTGCCAAACATTAGATGTGTCTATTCCATTCCAATAACCATTTTTGCTTAATGTTCTGACTACTGACTATACTTGAAGGAAATCTTCCACGAGGAAAACACAGACACACCTAAAGTCAAAATCCGGAGTAGAACGCTCCAAAATATGGGTAGTTAATTTGCTTTCTCAAATACAACGTGGGAAGTAATTGCACCATTCTGCAAACTGAAGGAAGCACTTTTTCTCCTACCAGCACATGAAAGAGTAATCTATCAAGGCATTTGATTGGAAGCAATATTAGAACCCAATCCTTGAAACCATACTATTCTATTGAAACTTTAGAGATAATATTTTTGCTATCATCAGAGTTATAAAATTACCCATCATCAACCTCATTGAGCAAGAATTTTAATATTCCATCCCTTGGGACAAAAATAGACATTTTCTCGAACACAAAGCACATCAAGGTAGAAGATTTAGAATATTCACTGCACCATCAAGCCAAAAACCAGAAACCAAAAACCTTACAATCTAGAGAAGCCATCTTCCTTCACCCTTTGAAATTTTATACGTTAGCTTTCATCCAGCGATTCTTTTTCGATTTGACTTATGCAAAAAGAAAAATGAAGTAGAAAAATACGGAGTGTGTGCTTTTATTTTGAAAGATTAAAGAAGTTTCATGTTCTACAAGTGAAAATATTGAAATAATTACCGAAAAATAAGAAATTCAAGGAAAGTCTGATTTAATTCTCTTCGAAGTAATTAATCAAACAAATTTCAAATCATTGA